GGTACTGTGCTGTGCTCCTCTATTCACTAGTTGACAGCACTTATACACTCAGCACCTGTCTCCTTTCCTGTGGTCAGCCTCTCATATGTTCTTGCTGCCCCTGGCAAACAGAGCCTGTTCTTAGGTCCCTGGAGTACGAATGAGAATGCTATCACTTTAAAATTCAAAATGGCCACCACTTGTAAACATTCAAAATGGCTGCACCCTCAGTCACTTTAAATATCCAAAATGGCTGCCACGTGCAAACAATCAAAATGGCTGTGCCCTCCAGACAGCAGAAAGTCCACAGCTCGGGCTGTCTCCCTCCACTGGAGAAGGGGCAGCAGGATAGACGGCTTTTGCTTTGCCTTAGGTCTGAGTGGGAGTTCAGAGGTCAGCCAGCGGGAAGCAGCAGCTAGGGCCTTCCAGAAAGGGGGACGGGTATCAATAAGACAGGGTGGCCGTGCTGTGCAAGCAAAAGGCAACCAAATCCAGGCTCAGGGCTCCAGCAGTGCCAGGCAGCACCCACAAATGAGCAAATACAGCTTGGATGACCTTTGTAAGCCAAGAGAAGCACACCAAATCTAGAAAGAGGCTCTTCTCTATCATACATGGAAGTTTGTGTACTTTCGAAAAATCGGCCATTAAAAACCCTGTGGAGGGCTGTTACACCCTGACACTCACGGGGTCACCAAGAGTCAGAATTGACCCAACGTGCTCAGTGCTTCCTGAAGGGGTTCAGCCACTTTGATGAGTGGACGTGGAAGTGCCTTGGAGTTTGACCTTAGTCTTTTGAGGAAGAAAGGTGTGGTCTGTGTTTCAGAATAGTCCCATTGCCATGTGGGGATTTAGAAGCACTCTTAGAGCTCTCAAACCATTCATACCTACCTTTGAGAGAGAGAGAGAGAGAGTGTGTGTGTGTGTGTGTGTGTGTGTGTGCGCGCGCGCGCGCACAAGCGCACTCATCTGCACCTGCGTGTGTAAGCCTGTGTTTGCAGTGGGGACAAACTATGCAAGGGATCCATTTGCCAACACACCACCACCATTTTAATGCTTCACTGTCGTGACCACCCGTCCTCCCAAGGAGAACCTGTAATTTAGGTACACTACCACCAGGTGGCGATAGTGCACCAGGATTCAGAAAATAAATGCTGGTAGGAAGATTGGGCAATCTATTTTTGTAGAGATACTGCCTCGGGAAACCCACGGACAGGTCGCTATGCATCAGGATTGGCTGGACGGCAGTGAGTGAGTTCATTAAAATGAAGTGAAGGGTAATCTCTCTTTACAGAAAAGGAATCTCTTCAATAAAATAACTCAGCCTGAACAATATTAATCAAGGAAACCTCTTGACCACTCCCAGCGCACCTTCTCCTCTTGAGCCTTCCTCTCCGTGCTCCACTCACCCACTGCTGTGTGGGGCGACAGCTCTCATGGTGAGGGACAGGTTGAGTGCAGAGCTGAGACTTGGTGACAGTGGTCCAGGTGTCACTGCATTCTGCTGCTCCTAGCCCCCATGCTCCCTTCAGCGTCCTCTGTGACCCAGCTCCCAGTAGGGACTGCTCAGGGGACTCAATGGACTTCTCTAGGGACCGTTTCTGAAATGCCCAGTGATCCTCAGCCAGCTAGGTGAACATCTGAATAGATTTGACCTTAGTGGGACCATAGGTGAAATCGGCTCAAGGGAAGGGCAGACCCTGCCTGTTGCCTTGTCCCTTTCCCCATCCCCAAGAGCAGGTCAGCCTGGGCAAAGGAGTAGAAGCACCACATGGGGGTGGGGGAGGAGACCTGGCTGGATAGGAGGTGCCCCTCTCTCCTCGCCAGGCCCAGCAGGAGAGCCTGTCTAACCTGCCTGTCTACCCCTGAGCAGCCAGATGCGATTGTACATCCCGAAGGTGTCCATCTCTGGAGCATATGAGCTCAGGGACGTTCTGGAGGACATGGGCATTGCAGACCTGTTCACCAGCCAGGCAAATTTCTCAGGCATTGCCCACGAGGCCCAGCTGAAGGTGTCAAAGGTAAGTGCCGCAGGAGCCCCTCTTTTTTATTTTCCAAAATTTGACAATAAAAAAAAAATGATAATAATGAGCAACTCTGAGCCCAGTCGGTATCCAAGAGCTCCAGGCCACGTCCAGCAAGAAAATGTGGCCTCAGGGACGTACAGGAAGCAAGTGACAGGGGAGGGCCATGTCCCAGGTCAGCCATCCCACCAGACCACACAGAGGGGGTTCTGTGGGAAATGAACTTGTCATGGCAACCCTGTGAACAGCCCCAGCATGAAGAAGCAGGGAAACTCAGATGTGTCTGTGGCCCACCCTCGAACGTGCATTACCTTCACCCTTCAGTTTGGTGTTCTGTTAGTCATGCCCTCGTTCAGAAAGGGAGTGAGCCCCCAGTGTGTACCTCAAACTGTGCTGGGCACTTCGCGTGCCTCCACTGCCCAGACACAGCCCCGGCCCTCACAGATCTTGCAGCCGTGTAGGGTGACAAACAAGACAGGAGAGAGCAGCAGTGGCAGCAGCCCCTGCCCACAGCACAAGGACTCTGTGACCACTGCGGTGCCGGGCACAGAGTGTGTGCTCGATACAGTCCCTTTGTGGGAAGGAGCTGAGTCAACATGGCCACCTCCTTACATTGATGTGTGCCATCGAGCCAACTCCAAGGCACAGTGACCCCACGTGACAGAGCAGGACTGCCCCATAGGGTTTCCTAGGCTGCAATTCCTAGGCAAGCAGATCAACAGGTAACTTTCTCTCACAGAGCAACCTCCTGTTTCCCGCTGAGCCTTAACTGGCGTGCCACCAAGGCTCCTTCCCTCCCATGAGGGGGTGTTATCCCAGTTCTACAGAGAAGAAATCTGTTTGGGGTAGGGGGTCCCAGAAAGATGAAGCGCTCGCCCACGGCCTCATAGCTAGTAAGTAACAGTCGAACGTGTGACCTCAGGCCTGTTTGACTCAAAGCTTCACATTCTTAAGACAAATGCAGAGGTTCCAAACCCAGAGTAGCTTCCTCCCAGCCACACGTGCCTACGTACGTAGCCCAAGAGCGTCCAGTCTTTGCTGTGGGGTCAATGAGCTCACTCAACATCAGCTGTGGGTATTAGCCAGGATGGCCTCTCTAAGCCTTGGTTATCAAGCTAGTGGAGCATCTTGGTGATCTCAGAACGCCTTCGAACTCTGATCACGAAGAGGGATATTTCAATGGTCAGAGATGGCACCGCAGGTTCTGTTTGGGCGTTTCCATCCAGAGTAGGCATAGCGTTTTGCCTCCACCGAATCCTACTATTTATTTCACAGAGTGGAAAGCATGTGGGGGCTTGAGAGAGGCAGAGCCCCGTCTCTCTGGCAGTCCAAGACCTGGTAAGGAGCACCCAGCATGGACTTTGCAGCCCAGCTCTTCCCAGAAGACCTTTCATCTGTTATGAGCACAAACTGACTTTTTTATAGGGAGGAAGGGAAACCCATGACCATCACATGACACACAAGCTATTTACTGGGGCCACGGCACTGATGGCCGCACACGCCCACTCGGGGTCCCCACAGTGGGAGGTCTGCCAGAGGCAAGCACGCAGAGAGTCACCAGAAGGCAGAGGGCATGAAAACTCCCAGGGAAAGGGAGAAGGGAGGGGGTTACGGGTCCCTAAGTGACACCCTCCTGCAGCAAGGGGGCGTCTCTGGGTCGGAGAATGCAAAGGGCGGCAGCATTGCAGGTCCTTACAACGGCACCCTATTGAGAAAAACGCCCGTTGTCGAGAGGATTCCGACTCCCAGTGACCCCCACAGGACAGGGCAAAGCTGCCTCACGTTGTTTCCAAGACTGTGACAGTGACCCCATAGGACAGGGCAGAGCTGCCTCACGTTGTTTCCAAGGCTGGGCATCTTCCTGTCATAGGTGGCTGCACCAGCATCGTCTTGCCCAGGGCTGGCAGATGTTGGTGCAGCATCTCAGGTATGGTAAGCAGCCAGGCTCTAAGGCCAAATGCCTCCTTCTCGGGGCTACTTTTCAAACAACTGGACGTGTGCAAGTGTGAGTCTGGTGCCTTGGGCTCTTTGGGGGCCTTATCTCACTATGAAGAAGCAAACGACTTGGGGCCAGTACACAGAGACCATCTTTGGCTCATGTGCAGGACAGTAGGCCTGAGCACTAGCCCTGGGGCTGATGTCTAGATGAGCAACCAGCAAGTGACCGGCCCCACCGCCCACAGAACAGAGCGCACAAGGCCCGCTGAGTCCCTATCCCCGGTGGGGTCAACCCTCTCTCTCTGGTCCATACCCAACAGGTGGTCCACAAGGCCGTGCTGCACCTGGATGAGAAGGGTGTGAAAGCAGCCGCCGCTTCCGAGGACGGCCGGAGGCTGATGGCCATGCCAGTCAGATCTGGCAGCGTCAAGTTCAACCGGCCCTTCGTTGTCACGGTCTTCGACAACTTCACGTGGAGCAGCCTTTTCCTGGGCAAAGTTGTGAAGCCGACCTGAGGGTACGGCCTCCCAGAGCACCAGCACCATCTGACTTGGGGCACCAGGGACCCCACAGAAGTGTTCTGGGGAGCGGGAGATGTCCCCGATCTTCTGCAGGTTCTCCTCTATCTAACCAGGGTCGTTTCTACCTTTTAAACATAATAAATAACTGTCCTTGCAGTTCTGATGGTGTGTGTCCTGGAAGGGAAGGAATGGGCATTCTGGGGGTTACATCTTTGGGAAGAGGTAATTGGAAAGCAGGACCCCTGATGGCACTTGGTTAAGCCCTTGGCTGCTGACTGAAAAGTTAGTTTGAATCCACCAGCCACTCTGCAGGAGAAAGATAAGGCAGTCTGCTCCCAAAAAGATTGTTGTTGTTACATGCCATTGAGTCAGACCCGACTCATAGCGATCCCTTCTTGGGTTTCTGAGGCGGTATCATGGAAGTAGATTGCCCAACCTTCCTTCCAAGGAGTGGCTGGTGGGTTTGAACCACCAGCCTTCTGGTTAGCAGTCAAGTGCCATAGGCACTATGCTACCAGAGCTCCTGCCAAGATCATAGACTTACAAATCCTACGGGGCAGGCAGGACTCTGTCCTGTGGGGTCACTAGGAGTCAGAATCAACTCAACAGCAGTGAGTAGATTGTTTGGAAAGCCCCAGACTTGGAGGCCTGGGATCAGCAGCTCCTACCGCAGATAAGTGTGCCCTTCTTCCCGGTGGTTGCGGGAGAATACAGCCCCTACATGTCACGAGCTACCGCTGTGGAGTAGACATGTACAGCCCCTACATGTCACAAGCTACCACTGTGGGTGTGGGAAAGAGCCAGGCTTCTGAGCAGTGAGCAGAGGCTGAAACGCAGTAGGTCACAGAAGTGAGATGCCGCTCCGTGGTTTTCCTTGGAAGTCTCCTTGAGAGCTCCTGGGTGGTGCGGACAGTTAAGTGCTCTGCTTTTAAGCAGAAGGTTGGGGGTTTGAATCCACCCAGGAGTGCTTCAGAAGAAAGACCAGGTGATTATCAAGTCGGCCATTGAAAACCTTCCGGAGCACAGGTCTGCTCTGAAACACATGGGGTCACCCTGGTTCGGTTTTGGTTTCCGTTTCAGTTTTGGGGGGCATTGGAATGTTCGTGCAGTCACACCTGAGGGGCTGATATTTGAAGCACTGTTGTGAGTGAGCAGGGCAGGGCCACTCAAGAGGGACGGGAGAGGACTTCCCAGATGTATAAGAGGGATTCTAAAATTCACTGGTTTTCTTCTCTTATTACACAAGCCATTCCGAAGCCACCTTTGGGGGAGAGGCAGGGATGAGCCACCATGAGGAAGTGGCCCTGGCCCCAAATGAATCAACCACTCCCAGGGGACCTACCCCCACAGAGAAGCCATAGTCCTACCCCTGCCAGCACTTGCCCTAAGGGCTGGGTGCAGAAGGGGCTGGGCCTCCAGGAAAAACAACAGGGAGTGGGACAGGTATCCCCCCTGCTCCTGGACTTGGCTGTGGCAGCATCCCTGCAGGGACCCTAGGGACCATCTGCAGTGGCACCATGGGGGATGACACCTTGGGTCCCGGCACCCTCGTTCTCATGGTGGGCATGGTGAGCAGCTGTGGAATGTGGAGGCTCCATGAGTTGAAACTGACTTAATGGGAAGCCTCACTGGGAGAGACTGCGGTGGAAGAGAGGCCACAGGAGACATCATGGGCAACAGAGAGGACTGTCCGCGTGCGCGCGCACACACACACACAGTGAGACATCCCTGGGGAGAGACCCTGCTGAGACTGGTATGAGCCACCTGTATGAGCAGGTGGATGTGGGGCTGGGGGTATGGCTTGCCTCTGGGCAAGAGCATTTTCCAGCCCACCCCTTCTCTCCCTTCCCCCTCTGCAGCCATGTCTGCTTCCCAGTCAAGAAGCACTTTTTCTCCCCCACAACCTGAAATCCAGGAGCTCTGGTGGCATAGTGCCTAAGGCATTTGACTGCTAACCAGAAGGCTGGTGGTTGAAACCCACCAGCTACTCCTCGGAAGGAAGGTTGGGCAATCTACTTCCGTAGTGACACTGCCTTGGAAACCCAAGGAGGGGTCGCTATGAGTCGGGTCCCACTCAACGGCACATAACAACAACCACAAACCTGAAGTCCATATGGAACCTTGGAGAAGAAAGAATGGGGCTGCCAGACTCAGGTTCCCAAAGCCTACTTCCGATCCTGTCTCTTGCTTACCTCCTAAATCCTGCCCACCCTTCCAGATCCAGGTAAAGCCCTGCCATCAGCACAAGGTCATCCCTAGTAGCTTAATTTCTTCGCCCTTGTATTCAAATCTGTTGTCCTTCCAGGTGGTTGTACTGGTTATATCAGGGGCTTTGGAAAAAGGACACTGGCTTTGGAGCCCGAGACCAAGATCTGGGTTCAAGTGCCACCTCTCCTTGTACTAGCTCTGTGTCCTTCAGCAGGTTCCCTGACCTCTCTGAGCACGTTTCTTTATTCCCTCTCTCCTACTCACATTCTTTTAGGGATGCTGACAGTGTGATGGTTAAGTGCATGGCTGTTAACTGAAAGGTTGGTGGTTCAAACCCACCAGAAGCTCTGCACAAGAAAAGACCGGGCACTGTTCTCCCATAAGGTTACAGCCTAGGAAATGCACAGGACATTTTAACTCCATCACACTGGGTCTCCATGAGTTGAAACTGACTTAATGGGAAACAATGACTGCCCCACAGACGACACCTGTCTCAACAAAAGCTTTGCCCGTTCTCCCGTCGGGAGAGGTAACTGCAGGTGCCAAACAGGAACAACTGTAGTTACCAGAAGGTGCCCCCATCTCACTGTGGCCCGTCCTGGGCACGACTCCTCAGGGCCACCTAGGTACTGGCCTGTGCTGCCCGTGAGGGGTCCCTGGAGCCAGGCAAGGCAGGCAGAGCGCAGCCGGTAGCAGGTGAGAGCCGGCAAACCCCAGGACATTCGGTCCATGTGTGCATGTGGCCTAGCGTTGGGAATCTTGACCTTTTCTACCTATGTGCTACTAAGCTGCCCAACTGTTTCTACTGATCTGACCGTGCAGGGGAAGCCAACTGCCCTTCTGTCCCTCACTGTTTCCTGAGACCTGACTATGCCAGGAACTGGCCCCAGTTGTTTCTCAGACATTTGGCCCCTTAGGCCCCTGAGCGTTGGCCCTCAGAAGCATCATGCCTCCTGCTTGAGCAGATTCCAGGAAGGTTCTCCGAGCCAGTTCCAGGCACCAGCCCCTTCCTATCATATGTTCCCAGTCTGGCTATAGAGATGTGTGATCAGCTGAGACTGGGTGGAGACTGGCAATCAGCTGACCTGGCTCACTCCTGGCTCCAAGACTAGCAGGTAGGACTCCCGATGGGGTTTACTTGAGGGTCCCTAAAAGAATGTGAGTAGGACAGAGGGTAATGCAGCTTATTAGAGAAATAACAGGTTACAATTCAGGATCAGGAACAACTCAGGATACAGTTCTTAATCAAGGACAGGTACTCCTTAGCTGTGCCTGCAGGCAGGCCTCTCTCCTGGCCCTCGGCCTCTTGGCACCTAGGCCTCACCTCTGCCTGGCTTGGGCAAGTGTTACAGTTCTTTAGCTCTGCCAATCAGTGCCCAGGGGCACCTCACTCTACCACGAAGGCTCCTGCCCAAAGGCGTTCAGCTCTCTTCCTCTGTGGGTTGGCACACCCACTGTAGCCACCATGCTCTATGGACCAGGATGCCCACTGTGCCATTTCACACCTGTCCCCTGGTTTGCTGCTGTCATTTTCCTGCTGCTGCTTCTCGCAGTTTTGTACCATCTTCAGCGTTACAATGCTCTCTGTCTCTTGGGTCTAGGAGGTTCTCAGCATAGGGACCCTGAGTCCAAAGGGCACACTCCACTCCTGTCTGTTCGTGGTGGTGGTAAGGTTGCCCTCTGCTCTGGGATTGTTGTTGTTGTTGTT